TCCACGAGGCCCTCATTTATGGGAATTACAAGGCATGCTGGCATAGAGGTGCATACTATGTCCAGAAACTTATGTGATTTCTCCTGGACAGCTTCCATTGGAATCTCCAGTGTGACTGCCATTCTGTGCAGCAACTCTTGAAAACTTTTTAAGTATCTGGCTGTACTTTTGAATATCAGTGGTAGCACAGTCTCATCTGAAGACAAAGGTAATACAGTGTAGAAACTCTATGATTAACAGCCTGCAACTCCTCTTCCTCAGAGCCTGTGAGCCATGTTTCATCATATACGAAGTTCATATGTTTGGGATGAGAAAGACCTGACTGTAATTGAGATAACAGAAACAGGTACAATTTGGCTAGATTGCTGATATAGATAATATTCAAGAGAAAGTTTTGCAAGGATTCAGTGATTACTAAAACATAATGCCAATCCTAGATCTTGGATAACAATCATAAGCACTGAAATAATGATCTACAGCTGTAATGAAGATATCACAAATATTGTAAGGTTCTGGACACTGTGTGCACATGAATGGCAGGAATAAACAGCAGAATAGTTAGTATGAACAACTGGAATGGGAAACAGCAGAAAAAATACCAGGTAGATTCTGTGTGGGTATTGAACTTCAATTCATAACAACAAAACCAAAAGACCCAGCAGGAGAAATCCAGAACCATGCCTTAAGTATGTGACTCAGCCTAACATATGAAGTTTATAGGAACATTTCTGTGCTCTCTTTAGGCATCACAGCTTCTTGTAAACACCTCTGACCTTTGTGTTCATTTCAGGAATTACTTACAAAATAGCATATCTCAAGAATGTACGTCGCGTCCAAAGCACTATAAAAATACTTTGTGGACACATAATGCAATGTTATTGCTTCACAAGAAACAAGATTCTTAAAACCTGAGGCTTATGCTCTGCCATAATAACAAAATATTAGTAGAAGAAAAAAAAAAAGGGGGGGGGGGGAAAAAGGAAAATGAAATTATTTTTAAATGGGAATGAAATATAAAAGAGAACACAAAAGTCAATATTGATAAAAATTTCAGATAAAGAAGATCCGAGTGTTTTGATTATTTTTTTTAACAAAGTGCTGATTTACTATACACCTGGTCTGTGGAAAGCAATTGTGTCAGAGTTGGGTTCATTCATCTTACAGCCCCACGTGAGCAGTATATCATCTCTCTTAATGCAAACAGACTCAGAGGATTCAGCTCACTAAAAGAATTTGTAGTTACGTGCATGGAACATAAATACACCTTCAGTAGAATTTATGGACAAGTAGAAGACCTGTGACAATATTGGTAATAAAATTCTTTTACCTCAACCAAATCTCTTTCATATGAATTTGGAAGAAGAGGAAGTGTTCCTGCTCTCAAATCCAAGCCATGGTCAGTTGTAGGATCATTGTATATCAGCGACAGTACTCACTGCCCTTTACAGGGCTTGATCCAGTAATGGTTCCAGGAGCACTGGTTCAACACTTTCAAAAGGCAAATCTTCTAAAGAAATTCTCCTGTCTCAGTGCTAGTTATCTAAACTGAAGTGACTCATTTCAGCATTGTCAAAACTGTATGAATGTTAATGGTAAAGTGTAGAAATTGCACAAATTCTAGCAGACTTGCACAGGATAGCCAGGCTCATGACTTCCCCCAGACATCATGAAGTCAAAGGCAGTTCAGAATTTCAGTTGCATCTCCTGTTTTGTTTTGTTTTGTTTTTCTGTTTTTATTTAGCTGAAATTTACTCGTCTTCCTGCAAAGAAAAGGGACTGCAGTCTTCCTCAGCCTCTTTTATTATGCTTACAAGGGAGCTCCTCCTGTTAGACAAATTAACTGTCTCATCCACAGTAATTTTGTGCTGTATCACAGAACCACAGAACTGTAGGGGTTGGAAGGGACCTCAAGAGATCATTGGGTCCAACCCCCTGCCAAAGCAGGTTCCCCAGAGCAGGTTGCCTAGGTAGGCATCCAGATGGGCCTATCCAGAAGGATATTGAACAGGTGTGAACAGGTCTGGGTCAGGAAACAGGAATGCACCACTGCTTCTTCTTGTTTTGAGAATCTGAAGCACTATACTTCTGAGTACTATTACCATGCTCAGACATTTCCACCTCTGCTTCTCAGTTATCACGATCACCATATTACGTACATCATTCTTTCTGTCACATGTATACAGGGTGACCCGTACACACCTGAAGGGCTCTTCAGATCAGAGAAGACTTAAAATATTCCTATCTATGATGGACAGACCTCTCAACTAAGATTGCTAGCACTGCTAGGAGTGCACACAAGAAAACTTTCATGCACTAAAGGACTTTAACTGGAGGTAAATTAGCTAAAAGTGCTGTATGGACTTGGGGGGTGATGGAAATTTGGCAAAGGTTAGGACAACACAATTAGGGACCACCCAGGTCCCCTACTCCAAATCTATCTGCCTTGCTTGGATTGAGCTATTAGCTCTTAAAAGAGAAGAATAAAATCAGCTTAAAATTAGGTGATTATTAAAAGCCAATGCCTGTATGGAAGAAGGGACAGATCTTATTGCAAGCTTGGCAGGATACCTCGGAATGAAAGAGAAACCCTTTACTCAATATAAAAAGATGCTACTGAACTCCATGGTGGAGAGTTCATGAACTGCTTGAATTCAAGAAAGGGAATATTTTTAGAGTACCCAGCAGACCTGAATGTCACAGAGAAATTGATAAAGGTAGCAAAGAACAAATTAGGGGCTTTTCTCAAAAATACAGGTTTGTATATCAAAACAGACTAATTCAAACTCTTATTACAGAATAAAAACGTAAGTGCAAAGATGGCTATATAAACTACAGTTTGCTTGATGAGGTACAGTTGACTGAAGAGAACCAAATAGTCTAAAAAGACTTGCAAAACACCAGGCATCCTGGCAGACATAGCAAAGCAATCTCAAGGCAGACTGAGGTTAATAAAACTAAGAAAAGGATGTAAGTATTTCCTTTATACTCTGAAGTCCAAAGTTGCTCCTTGGGTTATGAGACCAAAAAGCTTCTCTGCTTACAGATTTATGTTGAATCTAGTAGCAGGAGGAAAAAAAAAGAAAAAATATGAAAAACAAAACAAAACAAAACAAACAAACAAACAAAAAACTACCTGATTTGAATTTGCTGTAATCAAAAAGCCAATATTTATAATTTTGCCATTCAACATTTGACTAGTGCTGTAGCTTTTAAGCAGCATGCTCACAGTCATGACTCCTTTTTTTTTTTTTTTTTTTTTCCTTAACACTTACACATATTGCCATATAATCAATGGACTGTTTTGCAGAAGGTCTTTCAGAACAAGAAACTTAGCTGGGGGAAGACGAGGAATAGTTTTTGGTTGTCTGTTTGTTTTTAAACAGAGAAAAGAACAGTTCAATTAATGTTAAGCAGCATATGGGCAAATTTTTCCCAACAGACTACTTTGTCAGCCCACCTGTCCAGCCTGCCAAAATCCCTCTGGTTGGCTGAACAACCCCTCTGGTGAGTCTGCCACTCTCTTTCGTGTTAGCTGCAAATTTACTGAGGTGCTGCACTCTACCATTGTTCACATTGTTAACAAAGATGCTAAACAGGACTGGACCCAGTATTGACTCCTGGGGTACTCCAGTTGTTGCTGGCCTCCAACTACACTTTGTACCACTGACAGCTACCCTCTGGGTTCAGCCATTCACTTAGTTTTAGATCCACTTCACTGTCTGCTCATCCAGGCTGTACTTCAACTTCTCTGTGAGGTTCTTAATAAGAACAAGAAGAGATAGTTGTAGTTTAAAGGTGTGCCTGAAACTAAATATGTGAACTGGCACTCAGACATATAAATGGAAGGTTTCATTTTTCATGTTTGTATAAAGACATTACGTATACTTGTTTGCAGCTACCACTGATATGTTGTAGGCTGGTCAGTCTTTCACTCCACATCAGTGGCAGGTACTTCTGATGGAAGACCATTGGAAAACAAGAACAACAACAAAAAAGAGAAGCAGTGTAAGAAATCACTTTTGCTAATAGAACAAAAATATTGCTAATGTATGACAGAGAAAAAGCATGAAAAGCAAAACAGAGATTGAGGGATGAAAACAAGGGGGAAATCGTGCCAATTCTGCTCAGTTTGTTGGTCAGCTTCCTAGTGGTTTGCCTTGAATAGCAGGATGTTTGGTTCTATGCAGTACCCTGAAGGTTAAAATAAACACAAATTTAAGGGATGAGAACAAACTCAGAGGCACACAGTCAATGAATAGGTGGTTTGAATCATTGACATAAAGAGACTAGCTAAATTTGAGCTGGTCCCATTTGCTTTCCAGATGAAATAAAAAGTGTTATACAGAAAATCCTGCATTTCCTTCTACAGAATAAAAGATACACTTCAATGACTTTTAACTTAAAAATGAAGTTTCTTTCTACTTTTCTATCAGGCATATCTGACTATATTTGTAGGTTTTAAATGTCCATTTTTGGAAAGAAAATGAACACAATTACTCAAGTATTAAAGAAGATTTCTAACATGACCCCTTTGAATAATGAAACATAATGGACAAATTAATGACTTCAGCTCCAACACAGTAGTAGTCCAAGATGTTGTTAAATTTGAAGTTTTCCAGCTCTTTAATAGATCACTATTGATCAAAAAACATGATAAATCACACCTTTACAACAGTCCTGCTTACTTATGTAAATTCTCAAATTGCCTCTTCTCAAATTGCCTTAAATGGATGCCAAGCTTTATAAACACTACAAATGGACATCCATGTTTTCTGTGAACTTTGCTACCCTGATCCTTCTAAGGAGCTAATCTATGCTATTCTAAAAACATACAATGAAACAAATTACCCATACTAAAGAAAAGTTTAAGTAGTTCTAAACAATAGATGGGATTAGAAGGATTATACAAAAGGTTACTCCTTAATATGACTCATTTAAAAGAACTCATCAGCAATTGAAGTAGTTTCTATTCACTCTGTAACATATATAAAGTGGGCACAGATGGAGAACATGTTAATTTACAGCTGAAAAGCTTTCTTAGAACTTGAAAACTGCTTAACTTCTATGCAAGCATTAAGTAACTAAGAATGTATATCTCATCGTATATGTTAATACTCTCTCTCTCTCTCTTTTCTCAAGGATTTCTACTCTCAGTTTCAAAATCTCTGCAAAAGGTTGAAGATGAAGATATGTTGCTAACCACATTCAATCTAGGAAAAACTCTTCAAAATGGAAATAGAGCTGGAAAGAGAGGAGCCATACCCTTGCTGAAGCATTATAAGGCTGAAGAAAGCTTTTTGGATGAAGAGGATGACAGAAACACGAAGTTTTTTGTGAGTTTTCAGTTTTACATTTTTTTATTAAGTGTAAAACAGAAATTCTCTTATAGCCCTTTATAAGACAAATACAATAATTTAAAGCAATAACCTGGTGAATATAGGAAAAAAACAACAGCTAGGCATAATACATTCAAGAAGCTGCAAGTAATTAATTCCAACTTTTTAAATGCATAACCTGGGCAGTTGAATTAAAAAAATAAATAATATCAGATTTTAACAGATAAATACGCAGTCAAAAGTAATGGGTGAAAAGCATATGTTTCAGTATGTCATTATATAAAGTAACAGGTTTCCAACTTCACCAAATATGACAGACATTATTTTAAAGTATATTTTTCCATAAAACTGTTTCAGCCAAAGATGTAATGCCGGTCATTACTTGCTTTTAGATATATTGAATGATAAAATACTTGTATTGACAATTTAAAAAGTCAACACAACTGATTATATCTTTTTCAAGACAAACTGTTACTCTCATTTTCTCTTAAAACAGGGCACAGGCTCCAGAGATGATTTCTTAAGTCATACTATGCCAATCAACATGGGCAGAAAGCAACTACCTTATCTTGCACTGAAAGGAGCCATGGCTTTTCCAGCTGACAGTGAAATTCAGAATATTGAATCAATACAGGAAAGAGAGACTGCAGATGAAGAAAATTCAGCTAAATTCCCCATAGGAAGGAGAGATTTTGACAGTAAGTTTATTTTCATTTTTTAACACACATTATTTTTCTAGTAAAGTATAGTGCAATGTCTCTGACACCATTTTTTAACAACTCATTTAGAAAATCCATGGGATATTTGGGATTTGTTAGTGCTGATTAAATCCCACATTTCCAATTTACTTCTGTTGTATTTGGTTGGGTGTATGAAAGGCATTTGTTAAATTAACAATATTTCCAGAGGCCATAAAGACTCTTAGTTCTCTGCTGTTTTAAACTTTCACATTTTTCCTGTAGTGCTCAGGTGTATGCTGGGAAGAGTCTATCGACCTTGTTGGCAAGTCTGAAAATGACTGACCTACAACACCTTCTTTGAGAAAGATTAAACATTTTATTATGAATTTAACATGATTAAAAGTTATTGTGCTTTAGTGTCGCTATACATATGCATCTAAAATACTTTTACATCACAATGTAGAGGAAAACGTAATTCATTACCAAAAAGAGAACATAGTTGTAACTACTGTTGTACTGTAATAATAAAATGAAATAAAAGACTTCTGCATAATCCAGACTTGTAAATATTTGTCTAATATTACACACAAGCTATTTTCACTTATTTGAGTATAAAGGGAAGCAATTAATGATTTTCACCCTTTACTTGCAAAACTTTACAACTTCTGAAAGAGTCAACAGACCATGTATGTCAAAATAAAAAGTTACAGTCGAAAAAATTGAGTTAATTTTGCCTGACCAGCAATCAATTTATTCTTGCTTGCAGTTTTGTTGTTCTTTCCTTTTCCATCAAATTTGCTGTCCAATTTCTTCTGAGGGTGGTTTGAAGTCTTACGTTTCTTAGCATTTCTTGGCAAAGATAGTTCGTTTTCCTCATCACAGATAACTTTGTCATTATTCAAATCCATCTGTTCATTCCTGGAGTTCTTGTTTCTTGGCCGACAACTCAATTTTCCCATTTCTGTATAATTTCTATTCTGATGAACATTTTCAGAAATAGTTCCAAGCACTGGTGTGTCAAGATATGAATTCATACCTTCTGTCATATAAGAGTATCAAAAACATATGTGAAAAATTAAAAATATTACCTGGAATTATTCATCTGCTTTCTATTAGAGTACTGTCAAGTGATTTTTAATCAAAATGATTGCTTTATAAAGCAAATAAAAACTATTCTGGTCATTGTAGTTACATTTGCTATGTGTTAAGTACAGTGCCTTTTTAAAACGATATTGCTAAAAATATGTTATGGCACCTGAATTAGGGAAGTGTATTTAAAGTTTTAAGATATTGGAAAAGATACTTAAAGAGCCTAGAAATTACATATATGATATTGCTTCTACTTGAGTAACCCAAATGTGGCTTTTCTTAATTGCAAAAATATAAATTTCAGGTAGTTTGTTTACGTAATACAAGAAGAAAGTGTATATTTTACACTATATTGTGTAAAATAAATCTTTTTTTTTTCTTTAAGATAACATTAATTCTAATACACATGCTTCAAAGATATATAAATTTTTAAAACATTAGCATTCCAATTTTAATGTAAAGGCGTTTGCATCACACAATTTACAAAATAATGAGAGGTCAATTTTTTATTGAAAACATATTTCTACTTGAGTTTTACTAAAGCCTTCTCTGATAACGCTTGAAATATTAGCTATCACATTCACTTATTCAATTGTACTACAGCTTAACTGTGAAATATTTACCTTGTAAATGTTGCTTTGGTGCAGGATGTTCACAGGTTGACATTCGGCTACTGCTGAAGAAACTATGACCCTTTTTCTCACTCGATTCATTTTTATATGTACATGCAAACTGAGATTTGATCGAGGATTGCTTCATCTGTAAATAGTAATTGATATTATCTTTATTATAGAAGTAAAAGGCATCACTTGCAAGACTAATAAAATACCAAGTTTCCATTCTCCTGTCTTGAAAGTTTTAGATCAAATACTAGAAAAATGAGTATACTCACATCAAAAATGTTCATATGAAGTACTCATTTACAAAGTATATAGCCTTTCAAGAATACTTACAACAGTAACACTGAAAAAAGAATGACAGCTAATATAAATTAAGCTTCAATATACTTGTATCTAAAACTTCAGTATAAAGTATTATTTCACATCTCTCTTTAGTAAATTTCAGATTTTCCATTTAATCACAGAATAAAGGCATTTCCATATTGAATGCCTATGCCCAAATCCATATTTGCAAAACATACCCACACACCCTAAATTGACAGAAATCTACAATATTGAAGAACGCTACTGTATCTGGTTCTGCATGTCCATGTCTTCCTTCTAGTCCTGGAAGCAGGTAACCTAGCCCTATAGCACAAACAAATCAAAATATATGGTTTATCAACAAAAAATTGTACAGAAATTTTAATAGAGTCAATATATCTATATTTACTGGAAGCAGTGGTTCCCAGTCAACCTTCCTCAGTTTATGGTTAGCCTACAGTTTTTCTATCATTTAGAATTTCAGGGTCAAGCTTTGTACTTTCTGGTCAATTTATCACAAATGCTACATACTCTGCAAGACAAATTGTGTCCTTACTACCATTTGAAGTACTACTGAAATATATTGAAAGGTACGGCATGGATTAGGAGTTTTAGCTAATAATTATATTACAATGGCACAGGTAAATTCAAATAAATGTGAACTGAATAAGTGATGCTATAGAAATATCAGCAAAAAAAAGAAAATGCAAGAAATGTCACAAAAGGAATACTAATTTTTTTGGACTGGATTTGGTGAATAGGAAGTTTACAGCCACTTTTCAGGTTCAAAAGTTTGCATTACACAACTCCATTTTTCTTCTTCGAGTTCAAGTTTCAGCCCTACAGACATTTTAGTTCACACTCAAAATTTCCAATTCAGACAGAACAGAAAAGAATACATTGCCAGAAACCTCCTTTCACAGGGGCCTTCATCCACAAAATTCAGTCAGTTTATGCCAGTCTGGTCAGATACTGCTTTTATCCACATAAACCAACAGACTCCAGCTTTTTACCACTGAGATGCAGCCTAAGTATCCACGATAGTGCAGGTTTTTGTTGTTGCCATTGTTGTTGTTTTTTAAGAAACATTTTTTCCAGATTTAATATGCCCATACCCATGCAGTCTTACTTAAAGTTTTGCTATGGTCTTTCCCATGGGCTGTAGGGGAATCTTTACTCTGGCACCTTAAGCATCTTCTCCTCCTTCTTTACTGATGTTGGTGTCTGCAGAGCTGTTTCTCTCATTTTTCTCACTCCTTTCTTACTGCTACCATTCAGTGTGTTTTTTTTTTTTCTTCTTTGTTTTGTTTAGTTTAGTTTTGTTTGTTTGTTTGTTTTGTTTTTACCCTTTCTTAAATATGTTACCACAGAGGTGCCACTGATGGGCTCAGTTTTGGCCAGTGGAGGGTCCCTTTTGGAGCCAGCTGGAACTGGCTATAACCAACATAGGGGTAGCTCTTGATCTCTTCTCATAGTAGCCACAACCGTAGGCCTTCTACCTTACCACATAAACTCAGTACGGAAGAATAAAGCAACTATACCCAAATAATCAGAAAGATAATTTGAAATAATTAAAAAAACAACTCTAATCTTGTTTGATTAAATTTAACATCCTAATTTATATAATTATTTTAATCAGAATATAAGGGGCTTAAATTTTATTTAGTTTAAGAATTAATATTAATACAAATATTAAAACATAATTTTAAGTTTCCTGGGCTTGCTATTTTTCTTCAAAACTTCATCATAATCCTTCTAAATCCACTCAGTCCTCAATTATTGTTCAGTAAATGACACAAATCAAAATTTATGCAACAATATCTTGCACAGAACTCTATCACATATCCTTATTGCAGAAGGCAAATAAGCTACAATTTATTCTGAGCTGATGAAGATATAATATATGCAGCACAAAAAAAAAACAAAGAAAGCTCGATAGTTACTGTTCTATAAACAACAAATTCAGTTGTTTTGCAGGATATCAGGGTTTCTTTTTACCACTCTCACCTGACACTTTACTAATTTAGTTTGCAGGGACTGGAATATGTGGCTTTAAAGGACTGAAGTAAAGATCAAATACTGAAAAATTTCACAAACTCATCTGTCTTCATTTCAACTGCACTGAAGCTTGAAATATGATTCAAAACTTCATTCTGTATCATATTGCATGCCATTTAGTCATTTACAAACATTATACAAAGCTCAAATATAACTGTTTCAGTTGATGCTACTACTAACCTAGAGGCTTTATATGAATTAGGAGTGCAAAACCAGACTTGTTGAAACAGTCAAACTTTCCTTCTGGTCTAGGAATGTATATTTGCCAACTGCATTACATTGAGTTAGCAGCAAGCAAATTTTAATAGCTTGAAGGCAGAACAAAAGAGCACTAGTGTAGCATTGAAATAAAATGTAAAGCTTTTCTGGAAAGTTTTTAAAGAAAAAAGAACAACTTACAATTTGATTGAGAAACACAAAATGAAGCCTTTCAATAACCTGAAATAGCCCTAAAAATGAGAAGTTTTGCACATTAAATTCTCTGAACTCCACTCACGTCACCATCCCAGTAACCCACAGCTCTGGGAGAGTGAAAGGATGCTGAGAGCTCAACTTGCTAATCAAGTAGTTGTGCATAAGTTGTGTGTAATTAACTCATACTTAGTGTCCCTGTTCCTTTTCACAAGCAAGAAGGATGTTATTGTTGTACTTATATGGATAAAGAAATTCTGTTGCATTTCATATAATGGGGTTTACTGTTAGTATTGTTCAGCGGGAAGAAAGTAAAACAGAATATAAGACATGCTGTGTTCAGCACATGTAGGTCAGTTAATAGTCCTAATGAACAGAATATGTAACACATTCTCCCACCTTGACTTCTGTACCTAAAGGAACATTTCAATTCCTTGAGATGCCAACATAAAACATTCACTTTTATACAAAATATTAATGGTGCATGCTCTATTTATTTCTAAAAGTTAGTTGATAATCTATTCCAGATCTCCTTCCACCATCTGCATACAGACAGTACTGCCAATAGTTAGTCAGTAAGAATGTTGAGATTTGTTTTTTATACACTGGAATAGCATAATAGAATTTGAAAACCTACATCAGTAACAACAAACACATGTTTTTATTTTCCAGCCAAACAATTAGAGTACTATTTGGAAGAGGAAAAGAGAGATAAAAAGGAAGAGAAAATGTATTCTCTGCACCCTTACCCTTGTTATTTGAGAAAAAGTAGTAAAGGTAAATTGAAAAAAAGAGAGTGCAAAGGGAAGAGAATGAAAAGAATAAATGGTAAATGTCATCACCAAAGCAAAGCATCATGTTATACAAACATGAAAAAGTCTCCTCGTAGCTAATTACCTAATAGCTAGTTTTTATTGCTTATTTAAGCTGCTATTATATTAGAGAAGTTGTGGCAATTCAGCAAAGTTCCTGCTGACTGGAAGAGGGGAAACATAATCCCATTTTTAAAAAGAAAAAAAAGGAAGAAACAGGAAACTACAGACCAATCAGTCTCACCTCCGTGCCTGGCAAGATCATGGAGCAGATCCTCCTGAAAACTACGCTAAGGCACACGGAAAATAAGGAGATGATTGGTGACAGCCGACATGGCTTCACTAAGGACTGATTGTGCCTGACAAATCTGGTGGCCTTCTACAACAGGGTTGCAGCTTTGGTAGATAGAGGAAGAGCAACAGATATCACCTATCTGGACTTGTGCAAAGCATTTCATACTGTTGGTAACATGGACAGTGGGACTGAGGTCACCCTCAACAAGTTTACCAATGACACCAAGCTGTGTGTTGTGGTTGACATGCCACATAGGAAGGGGTGCTATCCAGAGGGACCTTGACAGGCTTGAGAGGTGGGCCTCATGAGGTTCAACAAGGCCAAGTTCAAGGTCCTGCATCTGGGTCAGGGCAATCCCAAACACAAATACAGGCTGGGCAGAGAATGGATTGAGAGAATGGATTGAAAGAAGCTCTGATGAGAAGGACCTGAGGGGTGTTGGTTGACAAGAAGCTTGGCATGAGCCAACAATGCGTGCTTGCAGCCCAGAAAGTCAATTGTATTCTGGACTACAACAAAAGAAGCATGGCCAGCAGGTGGAGGGAGGTGATTCTGTCCCTCTAATCTGCTCTCATCAGACCCCACCTGGAGGGCTGTGTTTGGCTCTAGTGTCCCCTTGTAAGAAAGGCATGGACCTATTACAATGAGTCCAGAGGAGGGCCACAAAGATGATCAAGGGGTTGGAGCGCCTCTCCTATGAAGACTGGCTGAGGGAGTTGGGGTTGTTCAGTCTGGAGAAGAGAAGGCTCTGGGGAGACCTTGCAGGGGCCTACAGGAAAGCTGGGGAGGGACTCTTGTCAGGGAGTACAGTGATAGGACAAGGAGCAATGGCTTAAACTATGATTTTGCTAAATTCATCTTTTTTTTTTTTTTTTTTTTTTTTTTTAGTGTGATATACCAGCTTTTTGCTATCCTAAATTAACTCACTACTGATTTGAGAACAGCCACAAATCACATTATCAGGTTTTGAGAGTACTCAAAATTCACAGGCAGGGATCTTTGGAAAGTAGTCTAGGGGTCTTGTAGAAACAAATATGGTATTTTCGACACAAGTAATAAAAACTTTCTTCAGATTTTGTGCGGACATAACCTTTGTCTCCCCTTCCCCTTTCTCCCCCAGGTACTCATCTTTTTGGCAAACTTCATACCCATAGAAACTAATAAGTTTATTGTTCCTAATATTCCAGTCAGAAAATTTCTTGCTACTATAGATGAGAGAACTACCTAAGCAGGATTATTTTCTCTGTTGCTATGAATTTT